GATGTCGTCTTTTAAAAAATCCATCATTAATTCTAGAAAGGTATACTGTAAAAATTTGTGACATTCGTTAAAAACGTTCTATGGAAAATTACCACCAGTAAATAAAATGAATCGACGAGGAGACACGTATTTTCAACTTCAGTGATCAGCGTCATTGTTTAAAGGAATATTAGATGTTTGTATTCATTTGAAACAATCGTCAACGGATCTATAAACATAATTTTGCATAGTAATTGAAAAACGATCGATCACAAATCGATAGACATTTGCATAAAATATTCGAATTAATGATAAAAGAAAAAACAAAAAAAAAAGAAGCCAAATATTCGTCTAACAAAAATGTAGAAACACGAATATAAATGTATTATACAAAGTAATACTTATTTTAGTTTTCGACGTTTCCTCTATTAATAAACATTAAATCGTTCTTCGATATTTTAATAAAAGCATAATATAAATTACAATTAACATATATTACCTAAATTACACATTCTTACTTGTTGATATCAATGAAATTTATATCTATCAAATGAATAATATCAAGGCTCACACATAAAGAGACACACGTATGATATTATTTTTAAAGCATAGATTGAACGGTGTTAGTTAGATGGAGGAAAGAAAAATAAACGTTAGTGCCGAGTGAACTGTACGATCCATCGGTCAAAACCACAAACCGCAAATAGAAAGAGAATAGACTAGTATTAAATTGAATTACCAATGTTTACTTAGTATACAAGAATGATAGAAATATTCAACTTTAACACGTTCGTCGCCATGGCACCGTATACGGTGACGCTCTTCTTCTTGAAGTTATAGTATTTTTCATTGAAATAATTTATCACATTTGCCATTTCGAAAGAAAATTATTTTCGATAAATAAAATATAATAATATAATAAAACCATAATATTCAGTTCGCATTGTTGATATTTCTACTTATCGCTTCTTTACGTTACGGCACGCCGATAGTCGAATTTTGGGCCTGGCGAGAAATTCAACCGAAACGGGCTGGGGCAACAAACGTGTTAACCTTTCAACAAATAATTATTTTATTATAATATTGTTCAAATATTATTGAACATCTTGAACTTTTTTTTAGTATTAACTATGACACAATATTAATAATTAATAATAAATTATCTTATATTTTTAAATATATACTTACTTGACTTTATTCATTTTCTTATTAAATTGTAATAATAATTTTCACCTAGATAGATCGATTCAGGTTAGAAGTAAGATTTCCTCGTTATTATCAAAGAGAGATCATCCGGTTCTTGATAATCATCGAGAAGGTATGATATTACAGATTGTATCCTGTATCTATTTTATTTTTTCGAAGCACGTGTCTATAAATGACCGGAAACGGTGTCATTGTCCTTCCGATGAGAAAAAAAGGGGTTTGGAAATGGTTGAAGGATCCTCTAGGGATGATTCTCAAGGGTTGGTTGGTTGGTTCGTTGGTAGGTAGGTAGAAAAGGGTAAAGGATTGGAAGGGAGGATAGGAAGGAACACCTTGATCCATCCTGTTTCCCGATGGTGTGTTCCTCTTCTTGATCGACGAGTTTGGAAAGTTTCGATGGGAAGATGAATACGACACTCGATATGACGAAGGTGATGGTGTAGTTAGGTACATATATGTATACTAAGTACATATGGGGAGAATTTTGGATGAAAGTTTTTTTTTCCCTCCCTTAGAGAAAGATGAAGAAGAAGAAGAAGAAACACAAGAGGCGTCGTACTACGCCCACTTTTAAAAGGAGTCCAACATTTGATGCGTTTGCGCTCTTGCGCGTCTACATGTGCGCAAGATCAGAGCAGATGGTCTCCGTCGAATCTAATAGTGTGTTATTCACAGATATGAGAATGCTTGATCGTGCGAAAGAACAAGAAGAAGAACAAGAAGAAGAAGAAAAAGAAGCTTGTTTCGAGGAAGGAAGAGGAGGAGGAGGAGGAGGAGGAGACTCCGTGTCTTCTCTCAAGAAAACAACCTTTTATTTTTTTCTTTTGTATTTCTCATATTAAAGTCCCAATGATGGAAAATTGTACGAGTTCATTTAAACATTCATATTATCCACTTGATTTTGTTTTGAAAGAAAGAATCGTTAAAAAATCTAAAGATCTAATGGATTTTTAAAACGAAGCAATTTGAACGATCATCATAAATGGGTCGGTCTTGAGAATAATACTTCTTAACGTTTCTTCGGAAGCCTTCTATCGAGTATATTTACGTATGTATGTAGACGACAAGAAACAAGGAATTAATATGCATAATTTGTTGGAAACAATGGCGAGAACGAGGCTCATTCTCGAAAGTGGGGTCTCGAGACCAAGCCAAAGAGGCAACGTGGAAACACCGAGAAAAACGGGCCTCTTCTTCTTCTTCTTCTTCTTCTTTTTCTTACCGTGGAAAAAGAGATTCAATCCTTTTCCAAGATCATGTGAAAATGTCGGATTTTCTTTGACTTGTTTTTTTTTTCTTATTTTTCTACATGATTAACAACCTCTTTCTTTTTCCTTTTCGAGAAGAATATTGTTCTTGTTTTTCTTTTTTCTTTTTTGTTAAGCTTAGAATAAGGTCATTTGAAAAAAGGATGACTTGAACATTTGACATTTACGAAGGTTCGGTATTCCCTTCTTCTACGCATCGATATCTTATCCATGAATGACACGGAATAAAGTATTACGAGCGTATAAGACAATGAGGTCGCCATATTTTTCTTATGTCCTCGCATGACGACCGAAAGAACTCTGAAAGTCAGTGGTGTATAAGACTGCCGTCTTGCTTCCTTCTACTTGAACGCTCTCATCCGTAACGCCCTACCTTCGCTTGCACATACATACATACATACATACGTAAAACGAATGGTTAAATCTACTTCGAATATAATCTCAATTCGTTTATACATACATTCTTTCATTTCTTAAGCGATCTTTACGTAAGATTAAACTAATTTTCAAAAAAAGAAAAAAAAGAAAAAAAAAAGGAAAAATATATAATTAACTCTTAGTAGTAATATTCCTTTTGTTCTTTTTTTTTTCTTTTTCTTTTTTTATTATTTTCTCTTTTCTTTTACTTTCTTAATTACGTACAAAAAGAATGGAAAGTACGCAGAGTAGAAAGTAACGGTAATAAATAATAATGCTTAGAAACGGTAATGAAATTGAACGAGATAGAAAATACTTTCCAAATTCAATTAATCACCAATTGTAATACTTTCATAATGAACCATTAATGATTTTTAATTAATGTAATTTAAAAAATTTAATAGCGGATCATAATCTACTTTACCATCGTTGTCGGTAAGAGAGATCTTTACTTACTCTTACCGACTCGTAGTAACTGATGAATAAGTCGAACGTGGAAGTTCTACTATACCGACTCAAGAGTCGACGTTCTAGTTCGTTACTTTTCTGTTGGCGTACCATTCCGTTAGTTAAAATGAGGAAAAATAATATTGAAGAATAACAAATTGTTATGAGATTACAATTTCCAAAATTACTATATTCTACAAATAAATAAAATATAAGTTTTTAAAACTTTAATATTTTCTATAATCATTATTTTAAATAATAATTTGAAATAAAAACATTCGTCATCAATTTTTTCGAAATAACAATAATATTTAAAAACTTTCCAAAAGCAAATGTCTACCGTACGCAAAATACCAATCCTTTTGTTATAATATTTTGAAAAGAGAAAAAAAGAAGATATAACTCGACTTGTTAATTTATCATTTTTCCTCGACACGAGTGGTATGCGTATTATCCGAACCTTTCACCATAAGACCTCTCAAGCAGTGCCGATACACGTTGGGCTCGATGGAAGAACCGTGTGTTCTTACCTGGAGTTTGCTCGGCTCAAGACAAATATTGAACCATAGTATGCGCGAGATGGAAGGAAGGAACTTCAACTGGTTCCAAGAAACTTCGACTCGTCTAGTACATAGGTATACATACATAAATACCTGCCAGCAATGAGGAAAGATTTAATGACGATGTTCAGTCCATCGCATTCCAAAGTATATAGATACCTAGTTCTTTCTTTTTAAGTTAAAGAAAAAGTTTTTGAACAAAATTTTTTTTACAAAAATATATTGACGTTTATCTTCCTTTTAATATTAAGTTAAACAATGGGTTTTTTTTTAAATTAATATTATAGAAGAAGAAGAAGAAGATAGGATTCAAAAAAAAAAAGATAATCCTGCTTTAATTAAAATACATATATGACATCATCGATTTTCGTGTATTAACGTACCGCTGATATAACAGTACTTCGAGAAGAGAAAAAGATGAAATAACAGAGAATGTTCAGAGATCAATGATTATACTAAAAAGAAAGACAGAGATAGATAGAGAGAAAGAACTCGCGTGTATGGCAATACCTTAAGAACGAATGCGGGAACGCGTTGGATCAAAAATTCTCTCCTCTCCTCTCTTCTCCTCTTCTAGAAGCTTTTACATTTGTATTTAAAGAGAAAGAAAGAGAGGAGCATATATACATATATGTGTGTGTGTATAAAGTACGTCCGAAGGTACGTCCACTAACGTCGAGGTCGACGGCCTTTCTAAGGATCGAGCAACAGCACGTCCAGCATCACCTATCGGACGGAGAGCGAAACTTTCATAGTAATCCGCATTCTACGAGGAGAAGAAGAGAAGAACGAAGGAAGGAAGACCCGTTACTAGAAGAGAGATTTACAGCGACTTCGTAATAACGATGTTACTAGGCAACGTAAATCCTTTAAGACAAAGTCCAACATTTTTCATCTTTCTTTTTAAATCTGTTCAAAAATTTCTATACTGGCTTTCTTAATCTTTTTACAATTTAGTAATTCGCTTAAAAATACATAACAAAAAAGAAAACATAATGCTCGATGTCGAAGGAACGAATAGAAATGAAATTATATAATTCTATAATTGTATTATTGGATTAATTAAATTATTGAACCTAAAAGAATTCTCAAAAATTAGAAGAAAAGATTGGATCCAACGCTTTTTATTTATTCTTCGTTTTTTCATAAATATTTTGATATTATATGTTAAAGATCGATAAGGAACGCCCTTTCTAGCGCGTGTACCATTACGACAGTGGATAAGTTCTGTCCATGTAAGGCATTCTGTTCTCCAACCTATGATGCATGCCTAATTGCCTCTAATGGCTACTTTTCGAAAGTAATTCCCTTCCAGTTTGACTCGATACACATACAAGTATATTTATATACAAATGTATACACGCGCGTTCTCTTCAAACAAAATCGCATTTTACCAATTAATATAATTATTTATTACCACCTATCCTATCAATTTCTACTTATCTACCTTTCTACGTGATTCTTTGTCCCTCCCCCCCCCCTCTTATTCACAGGTGTATAATTATACTTATTTACATGTATTATTAAACATAATTTTATCGTTCTCATTAAATACCATTTTAAGGGGTTCTTTTTTTTTGTTTACATTGAAAGTGTAAAAACATACGTACATATTTGTATAATTGAATGCATTTTGACGGACACTTTTCATATACAGAAATGTTACTCCTTACCCCTCTACCCTTTATAATATTTATATTGCTTATTATATATCTCTGGTCATTTTTCTTCGTACATAACACAAACATACGTTTTCCAACAAGTCTCTGTTGTATCATAAAGCATGGATAAGTTTATATATACTTATTTATTTAGAGCCCTTATCGTATCGAGAAGAAGAACGTAGTAGTAGTAGTAGTAGTAAAAGTAACTTTACTTAACTTACATTTAATAAGACGTTTGATTCGTCTCGAGGAAAAAGAAAATATCGCGATAACGATAATCAACTCTCGTTGAACGATTACCAATGATGATAGTCTTTGTTCAGATATATTTAATGACACGTTTGCAAACGTCATCGATGACAGATGAAAAATCATTTCAATATTTTCTCTTATCCACAACTTCGTATGCGTTAGTTCAAAAACAAATGATTATTCTAATAAGTTCTTATCGAAATGATCTTAATGTCAGATTTATGTTAAACTAATTTAACAATCTACAATATCTTGTTGTTTCTTTTATGTTTTTTTTTTTTTTGATACTATCAGAATCGGGACCCATCAATCTTATTTTATTTTTTTTTTTATTTTGAAATGTAATTTCCCGCGTGGTTATGTAAAGAAAGATAGGATATCGCGAAAGAGGTTTCTAAAAAAAAAAAGGAGGAACTTTCTCTCAACTTTGTAGATTTCCTTGGTCCGCAATCAATGTCAGGATCGTTTGTCGAGGCCGCATGGTGTATTAACTTCAAAATTAAGATGCATCGTAATAATCCATGACTTTCTTTACAATATGGATATAAAACGAAAGAAAGAATGAAGAGAAGAATCCTCAGTTGGTTCCTCCTCGTAATACTTCGATGGGATTATAATGAGTACACGTATTCTTTCTCGCATGAGATCGCTCAAAGCAACAATTTCTCCTTGGTAATCCTTCCGAGGTTATCCTGATGGACGTTTATGCGAGTGATTCATCTAACATCTTTAGTTAGAGCTTTGTTTGTTTTTTTTTTTTTCAAAAATTCATTTCAAGTACTTCCTGTTCTTTCCTATTTCTAAGAAGTTGGAATATTAAAACAATAAATATACGTATGTATGTTTTAGTTCATAAAGGTTAATCGTAATAAAAGAAAAAAAGAAAGAAACTTCAAAAGGAAGCCAAGTAGTATAATACATTCTTATAAAAAAATGTTAGTTAATCGTTTTTTATATCTCGAAATCGTCCATAAAGATCATACGTTTAGAAGTAAAAACCTACTTGAAAAAACAAAGCTTAGTATTTTTGTTATTCCAACACCTTTGACATTGAGTATCAGGTCCGTCCACTTTTAGACGTGTTTATGGTCATGATTATCCTAAAAAAACAGTAGAACTGGTCGTATTTCAATTTCAGCTCCATATATCACAGCTAATCCAGCAAAAGTGGTCCTCTTCTACTACCTCGAATCGTTGTCGTCTGTCCAAAAATGGGTTGGCTATCGACTTATACGAGAAAGAGACAAAGGTAGAAGAGAATAACGTATACAACGCAAATTAGGCTACCTGAAGAGCGACATGCAAGAAGTATTGCTCGCGATTAGCGAGTCGTCTTACCAAATTTAGCGAGTTGCCAAAGAGCCGAGGTTCCTATCGGTAGTCCAAATCACTAAAGCCGAATCGTAACATGTCACGACCCTTTCCCTTCCTTCCTTCCTTCCTTCCTTCCTTCTTTCCTTCCTTTTAGTCAATTTCTATACCACCCTGGCGAACGCTTTGTTGGTCTTTAAATTTCAAACTACAGTCATTAAAAAAAACCTTGAATAGAGGATGGGCTCTAACAAATTATGCGTCCTTCATCTTCATTATGTTTATTATATTAATGAATTAACATATTAGATAGTGTTTCATTTTACCAATGCGAATGAATAATATTTAGATAATATTAATCTTGAAAAAATGAAACAATCATCGTGCCGATCTAATTGCAATGGCACGCGATGCAATTAACGAAAACTCGTTAAGATAAAATTGACTAACTGGTGAACGAACAAAATAATAAAACAAATCCTAGATAATTACAATTGAAAGGTGAGGACAAAACCAAGTCGATTATCGAAGTTGGTTGCACCTACGTGAGTGCTTGGCTACAGAATTGCATTATCGTTCATCGTTTCTTGTTTCAAACGTCGCGGCCAGATGAATGGCCCTTATTGGTACGACCAAACGTGACTCGCTTTGGATCACCTCAAATCAACTTGAGAAACAACTTCGATTATAACCATCGTTTAAATTTCCTTAGTTAACTAACTTACATTTTATTTTATTATTGCGAAACGCTTTCAAGTTCGACGTCTATCCATTTGCAGACGAGTTCCTCCTTAGGATTCCCTTTAATCATTTTTTAAATTATTTATACAAATAACGATATAATTAACGAATATATCGTCGTATTTTTATTGTATCTGTTAACCAGACGCCTACTTAAAAAACCAAACAGAAAATGTACTCGTTTCTCTCATCTCCGGATCTTTGAATATCCTCCAAAATTATCATCGTTTCGTTGTAAAAGAAAAAAACACACGCGTGGGTTTATCCTTAAGTCGATAAAAAGCTCATTTGTACATTCAGACGACTCCGCAGGTAGTCTCACTAGTTGCTTCATTTTAATCAATTTCTCTTTGCAATGAGTTTCTTATAACGGAACTAATCTCTTTCGAAACCATTTACGACGAGATTGATTTTATTTCTCATTTAATGTTTAGGTGTTAAAAGCATGGATGGACAGGTTGCTCTACTTTTCGTTTACGGATATCATCATTATTATTACGTTAGATAAATTCTACGTGTGTTTCTAAAATATCACGACGAAATTTATCTAATCTCCTTCGATATCGTACTATCTTTTAATCTTACGAAAGAAAACAAAAAAAGAATCGAAACTATATTACTTATTTATGTTTGTTTCATTTGATGCACGAGATTTTTAGCAAATCTAAAAACAGAAACGTAGTATTGCTCGACAGCTGCACCGGCTGTGCTAATATTTGGCAGACACCTCGCATTTACTCTCGCATCTAACTCGAACAAAAAGGTTTAACTGCATTTCAATCTTTCCAACTGTTATTCACAACTACAACTCTGTTTCTTTTCTTATCTAATATTACTGCTATTATAATATAATTGTATAATAGAATATTATGTGTGTGGTGTATTCGTTTTGTTTCGTACTATCATTTAATTTCAGTATTAAATTTGTACTCTCTGAAAAGTAATTATACTTCTTTAGAAAATAATTGTAGAAAAGAACAAAACAAATCTTCTAATTTCCATGAAGATTAAAAGAAGTAAATGACTCTCCCATTTTGATGGAAAGATACTTTCTAGATTCTCCGACTTTCACCTATCGTGATAATCGAAGGACGTTATGGTGTGCTTTTAACTCTGTAGTGAAGTTCATCTAGAAACGTACGTGAAATGTACGAGATGCCCGAGAAATAATAAATCTCCATTAGAATCGGTCGACGAAAGTCCATCGAACCCGTTTGCTCCCAATCCAAGGAAGAAGTACATTTCTTCCTTGCTGACCACGTTCGAGAACCAACCACGTATTCCGGACTAACGAGCTAGACGCCAAATTCATTCTGATTTTGATATTATCTTTCACATTTGATTTCGAATTTTCTTTGGAAAAGAGAGAATCCAGTCATTTGCGAATTCAACCTTTGCATTCGAGATTTCACTCGAGTAAAATTTGATTCTAGACATTGATCTCAATGATAGTTTGTAATTCTTGTTCTCTAAATAAAAATCATTGCACGTTCAACGATTATTATCTTTGAGTAATATCGCATAACACGACAATACTTAAAAATTTGATCGAATTTTCAAAGAACTCGATTAAACGATTAATCTCTCTGCTTCGATTCATCGAAAGTCTACTAACATAAGAGCAGCAGCAGCAGCAGCAGCAGCAGCAGCAGCAGCAGCAGCAGCAGCAGCAGCAGGAGGAGGAGCAGCAGAAAAAGATGAGAAGAAATGTCATTAGTCGGTTAGTCCGATCGAACTAGATAACCTCGAAATAAATCATCGATGAAATGGAGAAACGAATTGGAAAGTTACGTGATATACGACATTTTATAAAAATGATTGACACGAGTGAGAGGGAATCCGTTAGAATAATCTAGTCAAGGTGTTTACGCGGATATAACGCCCACTGATGTTAAATAAAATGTCACAATCGACGTGACAAATTAAAATTAATTATTTTTAATCGAGTAGAAAAATAATCCGTATACTTTGCTATTCACAATATTATTTTATATTACTAAATATAGTCAGATGACGTAAACAAAATCAATTAACGAATAAACTTCGATGACGAAGGAACGAATATAAGATCAATAGTTTAATCCATTTTGTTGAAACTTCAAAGCTTCAGAGGGGAAATTGTAAAATCGTTGGATCTGTGTACGATCTCGCGAAGAGTGGAATCGCGAAGGATCCGAGAAGGACATGCGGGCAATCGATAAGGACCTTCTTCGTCCCGAGCGTGACCACAAATCAATGCGGACGTGGACCTTAGCGATGTGAAGGGAAGGGCCGTCGCTAAGGTAAGGGGCCATTAAAGCGCGTTCTCCATAAAATATTTTATCCGGTTTGCGGATCGATTTGAAATCCGTAGAGCTCCTCCTTTCTCTCTCTCTCTCTCTCCCGTGTACTCCTCGGGGCCCAATGGGCCTCCTTTTTCGGTGCACCAAATTCATAAATAATGGCTAAAGACCGGCCCTCCATCGTGTATCACAGCCTGAATTTGTAGTCTTTAGACCTTTTAAGGTTTTTGCCGAACAAACGTGCTCTCCTCGCCCGGTTCTCTCTTTTTCCTCACTTTCCTCTCTCTCTCTCTTTATTCGATGTTGTAATATTCGTGCGATTATCAAACTAACTCCTTAGAATAAAAATACTTTTTTGAAGAAATTGAAGTGAGCATCGTAATGATAAGGATTGTTGATTTCTCGCACACTGGAGAAACCAAAGAAGGATTCGTTAACATTCCAATCGCGATGCGGTTCGCGGTGAATCCCAGTTGCAATCTTATTTCTTCTCGTCTATGCGTTTACTCTCCGACTTCCTTTCCTCCTCTCCCAATGTACAAACAGTTCTCCTTTCTTATTTCTTGAAAATGATAGGAAGAGGAAGAAAGAGGAGAAGAGAAAAAGATAACATGTAACAGGTAGCTCGGACAGATAACGGTAGTGACGACTGACAACGCTGACGGAACATTTCTTTCCTTTCGTCTTTCTCTTCTCTTCTCCACTCTACTCTACTCGTACACCTTTCATCTTCTTTTTCATCTACGTTACAATCACAATCCAGGTAGAAAATGTATATTCTATTAGAAGCATTTCCTCGTATACGTATTATCTCTCTCTTTCTCTCTCTCTCTCGAACAGATAAACGTTCAAAGTGACACCGATAATCTTATTTTCTTTTCCTATTTTTTCTTCAAACCAGATTTAAAAAGCAAACAAAATATCTGTGTGGTGTTCTATCAACTTGTTGATTCATTCAATACACTTTTAATTCATAGTCACGTTTTTTCATTTTATCTTTTTTTCACTAATCCAATTGATTCTAATTTTCATCACTTCACATACCATGGTATATCTTATTTTTTTGGAAATGGAATTTTGAGTATACTAGATAGAGAAAAGAAGAGAAAAAGTGTTAAGTCGGTAAGGACCCTTAGTAAGGCTCATGGTATAAGCTCGAAACATCTCTGACCAACCAACCATTCTTGGACAGCCTTGGCGCAGCAGTTATGATGTTCTTGTTATTAATTTGTTTTGCGCGCTACCCGCAACACGTCGTGCGGAAACCAGTTTCTCAAGAGACGTATAGGATTACAGTGCTCTCGTGCGCGCACGAGCGCACACTATACGATCCTAACATAAGAGAGATAGAGATAGAGAGTGAGAGAGAGAAAGACCAAACAGCTTTCGAACGTAACAACGTCACGATGCTACGACGAAAGCTCTCTCGTCGTACTTCAAATGATTTGAAACTTGTCTTTATCGCTTTTCAATCTATCAACCAGTTTTTTGGAATTTTCAACTAGACCGATACCCCAAAGAAAGACAAAGCAAACAACCCCTGCTTTCGGAATTCTTCAATCTTGAAAATATTTCGAATATATTGAAGATATTTTTATGAAACATTTAACAAAATACATTATGCAGTTTAAAACACAATTAATGTACGAACTTTTGCTTCACCCTAATGAAAAAGGAAGTATATAGTTGACGATTCTTTATCAAATCATATTACTATTTGAAATAATTAATTAAACATACTTATAGAAGAATTATAAAATATTTGAGTCGAAAGAAAATATAACAAGTCATTCTATTCGTTAATATTAGCAAGCAAACGTGAGTCACACATATCGTTTCGTTGTGTTCGGTCTTACGTCAGACGCAAATCAACGATAGAAGAAACAAATGACGCGTTGTAACGACGAGGTAATACACCGTACGCTTTCCGACTATCGATATATCGCTACTGGGTCACGTAAGCCTTGATAATACTGTATTATATCCGTACATACATACATACATACATACATATATAGCTTAACTCTTTATTTATGTTCTCCTTTTTCGATTGGTCTCAAAGTATATGAAAAGTAACGTGTGGGTTATACGTTCAAAACGTTCGAAAAAGAAAATGTCAAAGGTAAATCATGCTACTTGAGATCACAGGAGGGAGAGTACATATTTCGATCTATTTGACGTAACCAACATTAAATCGATCACTCGCAATTCAATTGACACTAAAATCCTATTCTTATATTAAGATACGTGTTTTTTTTTTTTAAAGGTAAAAATAGGTATATTGGGATCTGTAGCACTTGAATACGCTATCTGGTGGCTAAATTCAAAATTAGAGTAGATAGGTCGAATTGCTACATTACGTGGGATCTTTAGCACTTGAATACGCTATCTGGTGGCTAAATTCAAAATTAGAGTAGATAGGTCGAATTGCTACGCCACGCCGCTGTCAGAGATCCTAATACGAAGTGTATTAGTTTAGTGTTTAACATATACACATGTTCTACTGTAAAAATTAGTGTTTTTTACAAAGAGTTGTAACTACGATGAAAGAAATGAATCTTTAAGAAATCCACGAAGAATATAAGTTTAAAAATATATTTACAGTTCGTATGTGTAATGTAAATTACAGCATTTCCACAATTTAAAACCACATTGATCGTTGGAATGCAAGTAACAATGCTTGATTATTGGTAAAAAAAAAGAGTCAACCCAATGGAATTTTAATGAAGAAAAACACAGGTTACTCTCATTAAATATTTCGATCGCATCATCTCTCGCGTTCGTAACATCGATCTTATCTCTCTTCCATCTTTCTCAATCGATGTAGATCAGATTTATATCGCTTGTTTTAACGGTAGTATCGAGAACGTACATCGATTTTCTTGACATCTGTCAAGATTCGATATAAAAAAAAAAAAAAAGAAAAAAAAACAAGAAAATAATCGTACGTTTTAAGTTGTATTTTGAAAAAAAAAAAAAAAAACGAAAAATAAGACGGACCTGGGAAATAATGAACATGATCCTTGCTTTTCTGGACAATGGTTGCTGAGTCATACGATATTTTATACTTGCCTTGAATGTTAACCAATGAACTCTTTGCTATCGCGATCGAGAAAGATATATTTCGTGAAAGGATCGAGATCGTTAATTATACTTGGCTATATAATAATCGAGTTAATAATACAAGCAAATATGATTGATAATGAACAATTATTATATTATTTTTTATCTATTGGAAAGATAAGATTATTTCAAATTATTCTAATTATAAATTTTATTGGTAGTTACGTATTAACGCCACCGCAGCAAAATTCCGCTAATGTAATACGTAAATAATACGTAAGTACCATTTTATTTAAACAATCAATAAAATAATTCTGAAAACACGATGAATTAAATAATGATATCTAATCATTAAAAAGAACTAATAATTTACATTAGAAATAAATATATAAATAATTGTAAGAAAATTGAAAACAAAATAGAAGTCATTTATTTAGCAACACCTCGTACTTAGTGGTTTTGCGAACGAGTCGCGAAACGAATTATCCGTTCGTCGCGGGAGTATGGAAAAAAGAAAAGAACAGAACAGAAAAGAAAAGAAAAAAGTGTCGAACGTATTGAATGAATGAAGTTCTTGAAAAAGGGACGGTGACACCGTTCGCTTGCTTGCTTGCTTGCTTGCTTACTTGCTTACTTGCTTGCTTGCTTGCGACGGTCTTCGACGAGTTCTTCCGCGAAAGAAGAAAAGAAAGAAAAAGAGGAAGAAGCGGTTAGCATTCGAAATTAATTACCCTCACGACTAAACGGTGGGAGAGAGAAGTAAAAAAAAGAAAAGAAAAAAAGGAAGAAAAGAAAAGAAAAGAAAGAAAGAAAGAAAGAAACTAAAGAGAAAGAGAAAAGGGTGGGAGGAAGCTAGAAAGGGAGACAAGAATACGGTTGTGCGTGCCACCCGGAACGAAGCGTTCTCAGGACGTCGTATTTGCATGCAACATGACGGCAGAATGCGGTACCATTCGTCGCTCGACACCGATTCCCTTTCTTCTTCTTCTTCTTCTACTATTTCTCTTTTTATCGTATCCTTCAAGATTTCTTCCTTACCTTTCCTCTCACCCTCTTCATCACCCCGTTATTTATTCTCTTTCAAAGTCATTTTCGTTCCAGACGAGTTTGTCGATATGAACGAATGAACGAACATCACCTCTTGTGTTAACCGTTGACGAATGAAAAGAATAAAAGATTCAAGAACGGCTTTGTTAATTATTCTAATTAGAGGCAAGCCGACGTGACCATGCCAACTTTCTTACTATACAAAATATTAGGTTGTTCGGAAAGTTGTTTCATTTTTTGCTGACGGACGCAATAATGGCAATAGTTGATGCAAACCGACAAATAGTAACACATGAGATCGATCGAGAGGTTAAATTTATCAAATTCAACTTTTTATTCCCATTGGAAAAGACTACTGGTTTAACCTTGAAATGAAAATTGTCTTCATTTTTACAAAAGAAAAACGAAACTTTCGACTTTTCGAACCACCTAATAGTATTGAAAAACGTATGCAAACAAAAATCAAAGTGAACAAAATATTTTCCATTACTTTATCCTACAAGTTAAAGGTATCCAAAAATGGTTTTACAAGGTATATTGATAATAACGCTAAAGATGATTCGATAGGTTAGTTAGTCTTAAAGCATTTCCTTAAGGGCTGTATAAAAAGGTAGAGAGATAATACTTGATGGTAGAAGAGCTAGATCTTAAAAGATAATCTTCCATATGTCTACTTATTTTCGTTGTGAGAACCAAAATGGTTTAGTTAGAGGTATATACGTATAACTGGTGTGGTTCTCTGTGCTATCGGAGAAGAAAAAGAAGAAGAAGAAGAAGAAGAAGAAGAAGAAGAAGAAGAAGAAGAAAAAGAACGTGAAAAAGAAGAGAAGCATTATGGTGAATGCGACGATCATCCAACCGCGATAACTTTAACGCACGTGGAATGTCGAGCTCGCCGAGTAGGCAATTATAACTCCAAGCTGAGTGCACTTTACGAGAAGCTGAAAAAAAAGAAAGAGAGAGAGAGAGAGAGAGAGAGAGAGAGAGAGAGAAGAGAAGAGGAGTTGTGGAAAAGGAAAAAGCTTCGATACTCTTTATGAGAAAGACAAGAGATAGGTGCACCACTCGGCACAGTGGTGGTACTTTCTTAACGATTAATGGTCGTCAACCGGTCCTTCTTGATATCAAAGCGAAATATATTCTCCAAAATAGTAAGGAACATTCTTCTTCGAGTACTAATCAATTTTATTTATATATATAGGTATATGTAATTATTTTTACATATATTTTTCGTATTACAAATTTTCGTCAATTTAATTTAACAATACTTTATATCGTAACAACTGTTTTATTATATTGTATGAACAAATGTTAATACAAATTTCGTTAATAATAAATCCTTTAATTCGTAGTCGTTAAAAAATATCATTCAGGATAGCTCTTAAAATAGTCTTTCTGAAAAAAATAATTGAACAATTTTGTAATAATTAAAGCATACAAATTAATGGAGTGTTAAAAATGATATAATATATTATACTTGTAAACGATCGTTCAGCAATGAACTCGTATCTCACATGTGAATTATTAAAATGATCGCATCAAAATGTAAATGATGCATAGTGTTAAGAAAGAAAACAATGAGACAGGGACATATAATAGCTTAATATACTCATACGTATTGAACGTTAAACATGTTAATAAGCAAAATAATAGATAACTTACACTTCACACTTGCACTCAAATTTGTCATTACAAAATCCACCCAATTTACACCACCCAATTTGCGCTTGATCTTGATGACCATTATGTAAGTTTTGGAATTAATTGGTTATAATAAATAATAATACTTATATACACCTTCAAGTTTGTTATCATACAACAAACCCGATCCACAAGCAATTGTAATTAAATTTAACATGGTAGCAAAGCGTGGTTGTAGTCGGCATCCATTGTTTGTTAGACGAATAAGATTTTCACGTGTACTTTCAAGTTGCACTAAAGAAAAAAAAAAAGAAACTAATGATGGACCGATTATAATTCTTTATATGAGTTGTATCATTTTCGATGATTAGCAATTCAAACGTAGTTTTCTCTCCCTTCTTAATCTTTTTCTTCGTTTCTCCCAGCAGGGGGGAAAGGGAAAGGATGGGGATCCCTGTAAGAAGTTTTTCTTTTTGCTCTGCCCAATACATTCGCAATTTGTTGGACCTTCGTATTCGCGCGTCATAGTACGAATTTTTGTCTTAACTTTAGCGTCTGTTTGGATAGATGAGGTTCCAATGGTTTTATACATACAAAAAAAAAAGAAAATAAAAAAAAAAAAAAAAGAGTTGTTCGCATCGAAGAACCACCGAAGGATCCATTAGCGAGAAGAGATAGCAAGGACGCGGAACGAGGCACTGACCGAAATGAGCCTGTCGGAATATTTTATTCTCGAGGAGCCGATAAAATGACCGCTGCCGGAGGTCTTTAAGGAGCTCGATTACCGTTAACGTCCTTCACGCCATACCGGATTTACCTTCTCAAAACTATTTTTTATAGAAAAATCTTTCTCCCATTTTCTACCAAAGTACTACGTACCCTAGCAAAATTCTATGCATCTAATATTCCAATCATGCGATGAACAAATTACTATTATATGTTATGTTTGCAAATATCAATGTAATTTGATTTTCTTACTATTGCATATTCTAAAATTGTACTAACATAAAACTATACTTACTTATTTACAAAGATTTTCTTTTTATAACATCATTTTATAATATATTTTTATTTATCAAACTGATTTATTTTTATTATTTCTTCCAACTAATTGTTTTTTCTATTTTTGTGCAGGTAAGTTCTTCACTCGGTTGGTCTACCTCGATTGGCCCTGCTCTGACCTCAAAAAAGGATAATCCAACAGACTTGACAGATAATCATCAAAGCGTTTGTTAGCACAGTCAAAAGTTGTCGGGTAAAAAAAAATAATACTGACATTTAATATAGTAGTAGTAATGGTGGGCCTGTTTCTCTGTTTGTGACTACAGGGCCGCAGCATAAATGTTCACGTTGTAAAGTTGTAAAGCATCTATCCAAGGAACAACCACCACCAGGTTATTTTTCTTTCCTTTCCTTTCCTTTCCTTTCCTTTCCTTTCCTTTCCTTTTTCCTCTTTCCTTTGATTTCATAGAACAAACTTGCTTTGGAGAGATTGATAGATCAACAGAAGGATACTCACGTCACCCGCGTAATTTACTCGACGTACTTTCTTCGAACTGGAGCCTCTTATCTTACTTTTCCATCCGATAAGCGTACGAAGATATCCTATTTCTCTACTTTCCTCTTCCTAAGTCGTATTTCTAGCTCGTTAACTGTTTCTCTCTGGATACAAAGAGAATTTAATTTTTTAAACTAACATAAGTAGTTAAAAAAAAACAAAACAAAAAAAAAGAATTGTGAATCAACATTATTGTTAAACGAAACACAAATAAATTATCTTTTAATTATAAAAACAAAATTAATCAAATATTTTTGTAAATATTAAAACGAATGGAAATTTTCATTTCTATGCCGAATGATAAAAGAAGGTGCGAATGTATAAGAATAAATGAATTCTCTTTTTGAACTATCAGCCACGGGCGATGTTAAAATCACGTTTTAATTCTATTAATTTTAACAAACGCCATGCTATTAACGCGTCAATTGAACTTTTACAGTATTCTCTATCAACGAAAAACTTAATAATCAATTTTATTATTGTTCGAATATAGAGAGACGTTGTTTCACTAATTATTTTGTTTATTATAATAAATCTGTACAAAGTCATAAATGTTATTCGTGATTTTTTGTGGTGGGAAAAAATGAACATAAAATTCTTTAGCGGCTGAAAGGTTCATTTTAAGATAACGGTAAATGAATAGAAAAAAAGAAAAGAATTTTTATTTATTTATTATTACTGTAACTTCTTTATTTATACGTATAAATTTACGTATACTTACGTAGTATATTATGTATACTTGCATCAGCGAATCATTTTCTTTTTTAACTGATATAAAATCGGTTTTTTTTAATAAAAAAAAAAATTAAAAAAAAGATAGAAGAGTAGATATATCCTTTATTCTTTGAGTCAAGTATTTTTTTTTGAAACACAACAAGCCAATAGATTTGCCGTCGAGATAAGCGCCAGCTACGAAAGCAGAGCTGACAAGACTCGTCTCAGAGTCGCGTTTTACAAGTTGTTTTACAAGCGAAGGGTACAACGCCACATGCTGTGAACGGCAGGACCTTCCTCTTTTCGTTACCCTTCCCGAATACCGCTTTCTTTTATCCTAAAATCGAAAGAATCGAAGCTCGAAACTTCTCTCTCACGCCTTATACAGTAAATATCGTTTTCTCATTCGTATTTTTTGAGATTTTTACTTCATCATTCTCCTCCTCCTATCGATGTAATCTCCTCACTTTCTAGTTGCATAAACGAACTTTTCTTCAAATTTCTGCTTGCTTCGCTGATTTAAAAATCTATTAATACGTTACATAAGTATATATATATATTATATATGTAAATGATGGTACATGCATTACAATTATATATCAAAGTAGTCCTGTCGAGATTAACGGTGTCTATGGGTTAACTGGCGCCAAGTATCGTAACTGGTAAGACTAGATTTTCCAGTAGTATCAAAGATTACATATAATATATATATATATGTAGGTATTCGAGATCGCGTGTGTTTAAATCATTTTGTTTTTTTCTTGTCTTACGATCTTTCCTAAATATCACGTTCAAAATATATTCAATATATTCATCGTTTTTTAGCATTATGATCTAATTATAAAAATTCTTATCACAATTTTTTCATAGTAAAAAGATTACTACGAATTATTACAATACGAGATAAGATTGAAATAATTTAAGAATAATTTTGTGCGTTATATAAATAACTTATCTATTTCTTTTTATCATTTGCAAAATATCAACGAAGTAAATTATCGTATTTCTACATAATAAAATATATTATGGTGTTATTATACCATAGTTAATGTATATAGAATAGATAGTTGACTCAATTATCGAACTTTCGTAAGAAATTTATTTATAGCACAAGTTCGTAAGTATATTAATTATTTATTAATAAATTATTCCAATGCTCACCACCACACACACAAGTGAGATTTACATCTCATGAAAATAATCATTTATGTTTTTCTATGTATCCGCTGTTCTCGGACAAACAAAAAATTGAATTATATTTAATAACGTCGCATGCAAATAGGTCATTAATTTAATAACAGTGGGAAGCACGATAATTACGTTTTCAATCTTTAGTAGAGTTTGTCATTTATCATATACCTATTGAAATGAATAAAGTATTATATATATATTATATCTTGTACATACTTTATATTTTCAATGATCGTTGGTTTTTCGAGTTGGCCCTTCTTTCTTTTTTTCTATAAAGGTTCTTTTACCAGTTCTCCTCTTCTCTCGAATCTTTCTTACCTTAGATCTTAGAAAGAAGAATAGAACACTCTCAGTGATCCTCCAGCAACCTTCCAGTATCCTCTTCCCTTTTAGTTCCTCCTATCCTTCCCATCGCCGAATTCTTTTGTTTCCCGACGTGGAACCCCAGTCAAGATCCTATCTGACATAAATAATTATCCTGGACCAAAGCAACAGATACCGCAGCAAACCCTGGAGTCTTCCTTTTAATAAAAAATGAGAGAGAAGAGGAACGAGAAAAATGAGACAAGATAAACTTTCAAGGTTTTCGTTTTGATCTGTTATGCTATTTTACAAACGTTTCAAGCAGGTCAATCGAAATACCAAAGATTTTTCAAATCTACGTATCTACCTGTGAACATTTTTCAAATGTTTTTTCAAATGTTAAATATTTACAATGACAAACTCAATGTTTATGAAGGTAACAAAATAATTGAGAAGCGACGAATTTTTCTGTACGTATTATAATCTAATTTGATTTCAGATTTTACGTCGAATCGTCTTAAACTTTGATCAATGTTATGCATTAATTATAAAAAATTAAAAAAGAAGAAAAAACAAGAGGGACAAGATCTACAAGATCGGGACTCTAATATTAGAAATTATAGATATTTCAGACGCGATGATATCATCCTTACTTTATTCAACGCCTTACTAGAAAATATATATATATGATCCATCCAAGATCAGTAAAAGTTAACTCAACGATTTAATGACGACGATCATATTCATCTGACCCATCCTAGCGGCGCCTGTCGTACACGTTTCATATAATAATTCTCTCTATCTTACCTATTTTGTTCGAGATTTATCCTCCTTTTATCTTGAGCCGCTGAATAACAAATTATACCTTAAGAGTCCCGATTTTCTTTTTTGTTCTACCGCGATCATCATTCGCAAATCTAATATCGGTTATCCCAGGGACGATTTCAAACGTTTTACTTGTAATCTATGCAAAGCAGAAAGACTATCACGTTGAACAACAACGCTTCCAGGCACATGAAGCATGAATCCTTCTTCTTCTTCTTCTTCAACATCGTACTTGCAACAACAACAAAAAGGGGGATGAAAAAGGACGTGAAGAACGAACGAGTCTTTCAAGAAGATAGAAAAATGATGCTGAACAATTTTGGTGAGTAAAATATATATTTTTTTCTTTATTTTATTCATTAATCGAAAAGCTTTGATTTATTTATTTATTTTTTTTTTTTTTTTAATATGAGTTTATTGTCGCATCAACAACTAGGCTATTAGCGACATGATACATTAGTTACAGTATATTTTACATTAATTATATATGTTCATACATCTTGATTGCTTTAAAGAAATTAATAACATTTTTATGGTGTTCGGTGAGGATGAGGGCCATCTTTAAATCGCAAGGAATTCGATATTTTATTCGTGCGTTTATGTAATTGGGGCAGTCTACTAAAAGGTGTTTAACGCTTATGGTTTCTATACATGTTTCGCAGTTTTGTTTAGACATTCCATCAAATAAATGAGCTATGGGTGTATTTAGTGTGTCCTATTTTTAGTCTGTTTATAACGGTACAATCTTTCCTGCATAAGTTAGGCGGTTTATTTTTCCTTTTCATAGAATGTGTCCGCAATTGATTTATTATTATTATTAACGTGTGTTTGTTTAATTATTTGCGAGGCCATCCAATTTCACAGTCCTGTTCTTCTCAATAGCAGTTAATTTATCTTACAATTTCAATCGACCTCGTTTCAAACGACACTTCTACTAGTCGTGTGCAATGGTTTCAATATACGGTTGTTGTCTACTCTTTCTCTTTACCTTTTCCTTTTTGAATATTCTATACTCCAAAGACTCTACGAAGACTCGATTTCTAACAGTCCTTTTAAGAGAATTTCACATATTTACGAACGAAATGTTATCTTCTAGATCGAAACTGATCGTAATATTTTTTTCTAAAGTATTATTTTGTTTAAACTATACGGCTAACATGTAACATATTCTCCAATTTACCATAAGGAAATGTATCATTTTTTTTTTTGCAATACTTTTGTTCACAAGTAGGTGTATCCATTCATTTTGAACATAAGTTGAAGATATTAAAAAACTAACAAGAGACAAATAAACAAATAAAAATGAATTTACAAAGTACGAGAAAGTAAACGGAGTACATGGTCACTTGGTAGTTTGTTCGCTTTCGAAAAAGAAGAAGAAGGAGGAGAAGAAGAAGGTAATTTCCGTTGTTGGCAGAGGTGAGAATCGACATGCAAACTTAGTGAGTGAGTGAGTGTTGTATTGGAAGTGGTGCACGAGAAAAGATAAAGAGGAGCAAAAAAAAAAAGAAAAGAAAAGGAAAGAGCGAGAAGAAGAAAGGAGAAAAAATAAAGAAGTCGAAACGAAGCTTAGTTGAGAAGAAAAAAAAATAAAAAGGAAAAAAAAGAGATGAAAGGATTGAAAAAAAAAAAAATAAAATAAAAGAGAGAAAGAGAGAAGCTAAAATCCGTGGTGAAACGATAATGTGCTTCGACCAGTAGACAACCAGCAATACATACGAACCCGTTAGCAGGCTTGGTAATTATCGTTGTTGCGAACTAACAATGCTGCCAACTGTCGAACTTGACTACAAGGCGCGAAGATTAGCCATGGCTTGCTAAAAAGTCTTCACACCAAGTTCTTGACATCTACGCGCCTATGTGTGCACCTATGTGTGCACCTATGTATTACATAGAGAACCCTCGGGATTCTTCAAACAAAAAGCAAAGATCCTTCTCGTCCTTGCTGTTAACAACGTCCGTAAACGCCTACGCTCCCTGATCCCTGTCGTTCGACTAAAATACAACTTGCCATACCGATCGATTTTATTTCTATTTTCTTTGTTTATCGAATTACGTCACGTATTAATTATCGCCCAAAAGCATCGTTCTTCTTCTCGAACTATGAAAATAGTTCCGCGTGACTTATAAATCTCCTACCGAGTACAAAATATAGAGGAAAAGTATGTAATTGCATTTGTTTGAAAATAAAGAGAACACACGTGACTTCTCGTTTTATATACATACATACATGTATTTTAACACGGTACTCTTGGAACGAATTTCAATCGATAATGCTATCGCTTTGAACATACGACTATGTATAGTTGATATTATTATCCACAAGGGATAACGCACATTCCTTTCGATTTAACTTCTTGGTTGGTGCCTTCGGTGAAAGATCAAAATGATCCAACGATATATTTTCACGGTGACTTTACGTATCGTCCTTTCAAATGTTCATGCCTCATTTTCTAACACTCCTTTAATATTATTATTATTTTTTTGTTTTTTTTTTCCATACACCGATTTATAAATTATCTATTATTATTTCTAATCCAACGATAATATTGAAATTAATTATGGTTATTAATTTTTCGATTAATAACACGTCAGATATCGATTATTATTAATGTGGCAATTATTTATGCGCGTGGCCTCGTGTATCCAACGAAAATCATTTCAAACGATATGATATGGTTTAAGCAATCGTTATAGTTAAATTGTATATTTTCTCCATCTGGCAAAAGAGATAGATATACGCAATCACGTACATATATAGGTATACTATACGGATATTCTCGAGGCGAACGACTACGGGGGCATGTGTACTGTTAAGGCGACCCATAAACAACTCGATATTATTCCTACGTATGACGATGCCTAGCTATTGACATTCCCGAGTCTTCGAGGTGAGCGCGAAGCTCTCGACGTTGCTTTCCTGGAATCCATGCCATCTTGCATTAGCTACATCTTTTCCTCATTTTTTCTCTTTTTATTTTCTTCCCCATTTTGCGAAATAATTTTCTTTACTTTGTAACATCTTGGTAGTAGTACTTACTCATCGTGATTGTAATACAATGAATTATGTCCCCGTCAAGATGAATTCATACACAGAGATACAAAGATATTTGAAGGTAAGATATTCCAATCCAATGCCCTTCGTTTCTCCTGATCGATATATATTTTTTTATCATTGATTAAATCCTCTCGTTGAAAGATCGCTGCGTAAAATTACTACGAAAAGACGCATTAGTATGTAGTAGTAATAGTAGTAAGATAATCTTGTAAAAGCTTGTAACCGTGTAAAAAAAAAAAGAAAAAAAAAAATAAGCCTATCGCAGCGTATTTGACTCGAACAAACATCAAGTTAAAAATATCGATAATAAAGCTGCTTTACGATAAAATCTATCTCGATCCGTGTAAAGTAATGCCCTCCCATTGGCCGTTACGAGTTCCGATAGATGCGCAGATGAACGAGCGTGACGAATAACATCGAATTGCATTTCTTCTCTCATCGTTCTAGAAACGTTCGTTCATTTTATCGCCAGGTGTAACGTAAAATATTTTTTTTATCTCCTTTTCGTTTGCATAGCACAAGAAAAGAAGATCTTGAACAATTTTCTCAAGTTGAACGAGTATACACGAGTTCCTCGAATAACAACGTACAATGATATAACCACTAAGATAAATCCTAATTATTTAAACCTTTGACTGCTAAAGGCGTATATATACGCTCTCACAAAGACTCTGTTACAAGGGTTTTAATTATCGTCACGAAATTATCCATTGTTTCTATGTTTTCAACAAAGATTTTATAAAAAATATTCGATCGAGTTAGGTATCAAAAAGCAGCGTTAGAACGATGAAAGGATTAAGCGTCCTTCAAACGACAGGGATAGACGAGTACGATGGTAACCGTACTTGAAATGCCATAATGTTAGGCTGCACAAGAAGATAGTTAGCTCTTTCTTTCTCTGTTGTGGTACGTCGTTCGGAGGCAGCACTGGTAATCTACCCTACCTTTTGCAGCCGATAACGCGTATGAGATATCGCTTGCGAGAGTCCGAGGTGCAATAATGTCTCGATGAAGTCGCTTTAAGGCCGATTTCATGTCGTGGACTGTGCTCGTCGACGAGTATTGGACGGAATAACGAGTAAGAAAGAGAAGGAAAATAAAAGAGAGATCGATAGAATATATGGAATGAGAGAAAGAGAGAGAGGGACGATAAGGCGCGGCTAAACCCGCCCAATCAGCTATGTTTCATGGTACTCTCGACATTACCACTTTATATTACCTATCGTTCACCATATATATTTACCTTCCTTCCTTCCTTCCTTCCTTCCTTCCTTCCTTCCTTTCTTATTTTAGCCACGCGTACCTTTCTTCTATTTTTTAACTTTTCTTTTATTTTTATTTATTATATTTTTCTATTTTTCCTGACGATACACGATACATCAGTGATTCTTGAAACGATGGTTCCCCAACTCCTTGAAAAGTAAACAAAATTTCAACTATTGTCCTATTTTTCTATTCTTTGATGTGTGTTTTTTTTTAGATTTGTTGCTCATAAAATTACAAACATTCTTATGTATTGTTAACATTATTAACACACTGTCTGCAGGAAAGGTATTCTGCCCTTCTTGGGCAGAACTGGTACCGATCGGCCAGGTCAGCTATTAATACCTTTTAGGTATAGCAATAAACCATGTTTTTCTTTTTTTTTTTCCTTTCTTTATTTAATAAATATTTTCTTTTTCCTTTTTTATTCTTCGTCCTATGATAACAATCCTAGGTATTCAGGTTTTTTTTTGTTCACCTTTTTTTAGATTTCTTTCTTTCCTTCTTTTTTTATTTTTGTTTTCAATGTTACAAGTATTGCAATAAACTTTTATTAAATTTGTAACTCTTGCGATGATTTATTATACACACATTTGTATAATAATATATGGAATGTGTACAATGTCGTTTCAATATTCTATTGCACATCGATAATGGGATTATTCGTTGTAAATTTGTAAATTCGAAAGGAGAGATTGTTAAGCAAAAAATAAAAAGGGTTTAAAAGAACCACTGCGATACATATTATAAAAGGGTTCGCGCATTGTAAAATGTAAAAAAGAAAGCGAGGAATGATATCGGTTAAGGGGCGACTTTCGCTCTTGCTTTATGGCGTTGTCGATTCCTCTTTCTTCTCCTTCTCCTTCTCCTTTTACTCTTCCTTCAAAAAGAAAAAAAAAGAAAAAAAAGAAAAAAGAGAGATTGCTGGTGGACTTTACAAGTCACCTCGATAGGATTTTATCTGTTGGCAACGTGCTGCTCCACGTTTGTTTGTCTGGCTT